GCCGCCGCCGGGCCTGTATGTCCCTGTCAACTGCCGCTGGGTCTGTCTGCCTCTGCGGGCCGCCAACGGGCCTATATGTCTCTGCCGGTTGCCGCAGCAGGCCCACCTACCTCCGCTTGTCACTGCTGCCAGGCCCATCCACCTCTGCAGGCTGCCACGGGTCCTGTATGTCTCTGCTGGTTGCCGCTGTGCCTGCATGTCCCTGTCGGCTGCTACCACCGGGCCCATCCACCTCTGCAGGTTGCCGACCTGCGTCCCCCTGTCTCTGCTGCGTGGCCTGTCTACTTCTGTGGGCTGCCACTGGGCCTGAATGTCTCTGTTAGCTGCCGCCGCCGCCGCCGCCGCCGGTCCTATTTTGACTCTTTAAGACGTTTGTTAAGGTATGAATTTTATACAAAATTTATAAGATATATATATTAGAATTTTGTCATGATATTAATGGTCATATAGAGTACTAATTAATTCTAGAAATCATCTAGCTGCCTGTACATGTTTTTGTTTTTGAGTCTATCTGTTTTCTGCAGGGAATCATGACCATGCCTAACAGCAAATTTGAAGTCTCTGAAAAGTGATAGGGCCCCACAATGACAAGGAGAATGATAATACCACTAAGTTGACACTCACCACCCAAAGATTGTCATTGGACAACAAACTGCTCTGGACAATTTGGCGATGGCTAGCTGAGATAATCCAACCTCAAAGACTACTCCAGCAAGGACTTGAGATAAGCCCTGCACTTTCAAATTATGCAGACTAGACAACAAGTGATACAGCTACCTCTCCCAGAACTTGACAATTTTAAAATTATTACTCTGTTTATTTGGTAGTAATATTCATTCAAATACAGTATCTTCGCTCTGCACTAAAATTCCTGTAGGAGAATGCTTAGAGGGTAAAATAACCAAAATGCAATCAAGCTTTGGATCCACATGATCCACATGTGCATCCTGTATTTTCTTTTCCACAACGGCCAATTCTCTCTCAGCTTCAGCTGACAATTCTCTTGGACTATTTAAGTCCTTGTCACCCTCTAAGTTTTTGAACAAATTACTCAGTTTATCATTTTTTTTACCCCAACAATAATCCATTGATGGGAAATGTCTCCAAATAATCTTTGAATGTCATTAAGAGTCCGTAATTGTTCTCTCCTAATTTCTACTTTTGGGGTGTAATTTTTTGTAGAGTTATTTTATATCCTAAATAATTAATAGAATCTCCTTTTTGTATAATTTCAAGAGCAATTTGTAATCCCCAGAAAGGCCAAATTTTCTTTACTTCTTCTAACATTCTTTCTATCATTTCAATCAGCCAGTAAAATATCATCCATGTAATGATAAATTATAGATTCAGGAAACTGTTTATGAATTACTTCCAACAGTTGCTATACAAAATATCGGCACAGGGTTGGGCTATT